GGCTCACTGATTTTCCGAGAAGTCTGCACTAAGATACAAGTCAGATTTTGGGTATCTCCTGCAACAAAAATTCCATTTTTGGTGAGAAACTCAAAGGGAAATCACATCTAAAAGGTATGCAGACCCTACAGTTTTCCTCATTAGATCCCTGCAGGTGCAGCAGCTGATTGATAATTATGAAACCACTCCCATATAGATTCACTCTGAAAATGGACACAGACAAACAATCAAACAGCTACTTCTTCAGAATAACAAAAGGTAGGGTTCTGCAACCGTTTGTTAAAATCCTTGCAATGTAAATTGATGACCTAGAGAGAATTTTTTTTTTTTCAAACAAAAGTGGAGTTACACTATGATCTACACTGCTCAAAAAAATAAAAGAAACACTTTTTAATCAGAGTATAGCATCAAGTCAATTAAGCTCCCAAGATATTGATCTGGTCAATTAAGTAGCAGATGGGGTTGTTAATCAGTTTCCATTGCTTTGGTGTTAATTCAATTACCAACATGTGCACTGTATGGGCAACAATGAGAAGACCCCCAAAACAGGAATGGTTTTACAGGTGGAGGCCACTGACACTCTTTTCCATACTCATCTTTTCTGACTGTTTTTCACTAGTTTTGCATTTGGCTAGGGTCAGTGTCACTACTGGTAGCATGAGGTGATACCTGGACCCTACAGAGGTTGCACAGGCAGTCCAACTCCTCCAGGATGGCACATCAATATGTGCCATTGCCAGAAGGTTTGCTGAGTCTCCCAGCACAGTCTCAAGAGCATGGAAGAGATTCCAGGAGACAGGCAGTTATCTAGGAGAGCTGGACAAGGCAGTAGATGGTCCTTAACCTATCAGCAGGACCGGTATCTGCTCCATTGTGCAAGAAGGAACAGGATGAGCACTGCCAGAGCCCTACAAAATGACCTTAATTGTGCTCACTGCCCAGCACCATAGAGCTCGATTGGCATTTGCCATTGAACACCAGAATTGGCAGGTCTGCCACTGGCATCCTGTGCTTTTCACAGATGAGAGCAGGTTCACCCTGAGCACATGTGACAGACGTGAAAGGGTCTGGAGAAGGTGTGGAGAACATTATGCTGCCTGTAACATCCTTCAGCAGGACCATTTTGGTGGTGGGCCAGTGATAGTCTGGGCAGGCATATCCATATAGGGACACACAGACTTCTACAGGTTAGACAATGGCACCCTGACTGCCATTAGGTATAGGGATGAAATCCTTGGACCCGGTGTCAGACCCTAAGCTGGTGCAGTAGCTCCTGGGTTCCTCCTGGTGCCTGGCCTCATGTGGTGAGAGTATGCAGGCAGTTTCTGGAGAATGAAGGAATTGATACCATTGAATGGCCCCCTCGCTTGCCTGACCTAAATCCAATAGAACACCTCTGGGATATTATGTTTTGGTCCATCTGACGCCACCAGGTTGCACCTCAGACTGTCCAGGAGCTCAGTGATGCCCTGGTCCAGATCTAGGAGAAAATACCCCAGGACACCATCTGTCATCTCATTAGGAGCATGCCTCGACGTTGTCAGGCATGCATATAAGCAAGTGGAGGCCATACAAACTACTGAGTACCATTTTGAGTTGCTGTAATGAAATTTCAGCAAAATGTATCATTTTTTCACTTTGATTTTCTGGGTGTCTTTGAATTCAGTCCTCTGTAGGTTGATCATTTTCATTTCCATCAAATAATAGGGCATCCTTACATTCCTAACGCATTATCCAGTCCATATCAGTATAGCTATCCAGCATGATATTTTTCCCTAATGAGATCTGATGTGTTTTCAAAGTGTTCCTTTTAATTTTTTTTTGCACAGTGTAATTCTTCACAGTTTAGCTGACTTGAAAAAATATTTCAGTATGAAAATTCTTTTCTCCTTTTATAGTTTAAGTTGTCATTGCAGTTCTTTTTAATCTACTACATGTATTCTCTGCATGTAAATTTCTCTTATTTAAAGTAAAAGCCAATGGATCCACTCTTGTACCTTTCACTTGAAATTCATTAAATGCTTTATTTAAAAGACTCAGGGCTCAATTCGGTAAAAGATAAATACCGCATGAGTTTTAGCATTAAAAATAACTGATGTGGTATTTATCTCTAAAGCTGTCAGTTCACAAAAAATGCATGCTAAATACCACATGCATTACATATTTTATCTTGTGGTATTTAACATGGCTTTTTTTCCAACTTATTTTATTGCAGACCAGACTTGCAGTGGGATATGAAACATTTAACTAAATGTGAGTGTTCAGGTCAGTGATGCTGGTTGTTAAGGCAGGCATCCTACAAACTATGACCCTTCCCTGCTGTCAGCAGGGGATTCTACGATGACAGTAGAATGTAAACAGAAAAACTGTGTGAGGTCCCCCCCCACAATCCATACCAGGCCCTTTAGGGGCCATACCATCAGGGAGGCATGTGATTGGTCTCAAATGTATTCTGCAGTAGAACAATACAGCCAATGTCATTAAGAACTATCTTTAGCGTGAAGAAGAACCAGGAATCCTGGAAGTGATAGCTTGGCTCCCACAGAGCCCTGATCTCCACTCCATGGAGTCTGTTTGGGATTACACGAAGAGACAGAAGGATTTAAGGCAGCCCTACATCTTCAGAAGATCTGGGTTAGTTCTCCAAGATGTGTGAAACCATCCACCTGTCGAGTTCCTTCAAAAACTGTGTGCACAAGCGTTATGTGTACCTAGGAGAATTGATGCTGGTTTGAAGCCAAAGGGTGGACACACCAATTATTGATTTGATTTAGACTTTGCTTCTGCTCGTTCAGTTTACATTTTGTAAATTGATAAAAATAAACAATTAAGATTCAGTATATATTGTTGTAAGCATTCTTACTGTACATCATTTCTTTGTACCTGCCTAAATAATGTCTGTGTGTGTGTGTGTATATATATATATATATATATATATATATATATATATATACATATATATATTAGCAGAGTGTCTCAGAGGGAGTGTCTCAGAGGGAGCTGACTCCTGGGGAACAGGCAAGTCGTGTTTAATGCCTGTACACACGATAAGAATGTTGGACAAATGATCATCCGTTTTTTTTTTTGCATCTTAGTCTCCATATTTAAACTTAAAAGGATACTAAACTTAAGAAAATTCTCATATGGAAGAAAAAATGTTTGAAAGTGAAGTAATGTATTGTATTGCATTTGTATTGTATTTTCGGACAACTACTATGCTGATTAAATGAAAATTGGACGATCTTATATCGTACAACAATTATTTTCGTACTTGTCCCTTCAGATATTGTCGTATGGATTGTTGTGATCGGCTCTTGAAAGCTGTGTACTAACGATCAGATTATCGTATGATCAGTCCTGGTACGAACATTTTTGTACGATTATCTTATTGTGTGTACGAGCCGTTAGAGTGCTGCAAGGTTGGTGTAAGTTGTAAAACTGCATTTGTGGAGAGTGACAAGCATAAGGCTTGCTCAGTGTGTTAGTCAGAACCTGTATTTGTGTAATATGTGCTACATGGCTAGGATTTTGTTTTGTAGTTTTTCCCTTGTTTATTTTCTGGAACACTGTAAATAGCACCAATAAACACCACACTGTTTGTCACTACCTTACTGGACTGGTACCTATGCCAAAAAGCAGGGGGGGTTTTCAGTGGGGACGCGGGCGAAGACAGTTTGGGCACCTCCAGCACTGAATGTATGTAATGGCAAGGGCTGCTGAAGGATTTATTGTCACTGAATGGTATCTATTTTTGTGTGGTGGTCTATTGTTGCTGGGGAGGTCTGTTGTTGCTGGTGGGTGATCTATTTTTGATGGGGGTCAGTTGTTGCTGGAAGGGATATACTGTTAAGGAAGGGGTCTATTGTTGTTGGCTGCTGGAGAGTACATTGACGCTCGCTGCTGGGAGATCTGTTGTAGCTGCTAGGGGACTATTGTTGCTGGAGTGGTATTTTGTTTTAGGGGCCCATTGTTACTGGAGGAATCTATTGCTGCTAGGGGGGGTTATTGCAGCTGGCTGTGGGGAGCAACCGGCTTCCTCCTCCTAAGCTGCGGCTCCAGTGTGGGTTCCTCCCCTCTGTCTCCTTCACATCGCGGGACTTCGGGAACACATGGTCCCTGCACTGACAGGCGTTCATCTCTTCCACTGCTCCCCTCTGAGCGGATGGGCAATCCATCTAGGAACCTAGCTTCTTAAAGCCACAGGCTGGTGGTTTATTCTATTATCCTGTGATGTTGTTATTAAAGGCACACCTCCACATAAGGTGTTTTATATGACCACAAAACGGCACAGCACCTGGCTCCTGTCAATACTCTTCATAAACCTATGTGTTTTTACCATGGCAGCAGTGAGTTTTTACCACTAATGACAGTTGACACTATTCACTTTTTACTTTGAGACACATCTGTGCGCTTTTATCCATAGTGTTTATTCTGTCTAAAAGTGTGCTCACCCCAGGGAGCTTTTGTACCTGCTACCTATTCCCAGCACACCATATGTATTGCCAAAAGTATTGGGACGTCTGCCTTTACATGCACATGAACTTTAATAACAGTCTTAGTTCGTAGGGTTCAATATTGAGTTGGCCCACCCTTTGCAGCTATAACAGCTTCAACTCTTCTGGGAAGGCTGTCCACAAGGTTTAGGAGTGTGTCTATGGGTATCTTTGACCATTCTTCCAGAAGCGCAGTGAGGTCAGGCACTGATGTCAGACAAGAAGGCCTGGCTCACAATCTCCGCTCTAATTCATCCCAAAGGTGTTCTAGTGGGTTGAGGTCAGGACTCTGTGCAGGCCAGTCAAGTTCCTCCACCCCAAACTCACTCATCCATGTCTTTATGGACCTTGCTTTGGGCACTGGTGTGCAGTCATGTTGGAACAGGAAGGAGCCATCTTCCAAATCTTTCCACAAAATTGGGCACATGAAATTGTCCAAAACGTCTTGGTATGCCGACGCATGTTTGTAGAAGCAGTCTGCATGCCTAGGTGCTTGATTTTATATACCTGTGGCCATGGAGGTGATTGGAACACCTGAATCCAATGATTTGGAGGGGAGTCCCAATACTGTTGGCAATATAGTGTGTGTGTATGTATGTATATATATATATATATATATATATATATATATACACACAATGGTTTAGTTGGCAGCATTTAGTATTGCAATATATGCTGACAAAATTAGATAATTAATTAATTTTTAATTCTGTCGATAATTTGCTTTACAGCAAGGGTGTTATTTTATTTCCTCCTTATCATGCTGGGTTGCTGACATCTCTAAGCATGTTGGAGAAGTGACTTCTGGGTTGCTTTTTCAGTGTTATGTATTCTCTCTGTTCTGTGATATTGGTATACATTGCTATACTTTGTTTATAGATCCCTTTGAAAAAATGTGTTCTTTTTAAAAATGTGTTGGTCTCTACAAGTCTCATGTAATTTAAGTGATGCAATGTTTTTATTCCGTGCTTAGAATGTTTCTTTTTTAATTTGTGGGCATATTGTCTGGTTTTTAGCTTTGGTTTACAATGGTGCGACTTTGACCATTCCAAATCGCATGACAAGTTGCACCCTATTGCTGGCAATGGAACCGTTCAAATTTTGAAAGTAGCTGCTGCACTATTTTCACCGATTTCTGGTGTGACTTGCATAGAGATCTATGCATGAAGTTGCACAGATATCAGGCAAGTTGCACAGGCAAGTCGCACCTGAAATCGCACTGACCTGTGGCTTTGAAATCACGCTGCTTCAAGTCAAAGCCGCATTCAGTGAACCAGGGCTCAGACCTTCATCATATGGGCGATTAGGTGAACAGTGGATTCCAGCAGTAAGAATCAGCTGATTATTGCAGCTGGGAACAATGCAACTGTTCATCCTCAAATAGGCAATGGCAGGCTGAAAGGAGCCATCACTGTATCTGCACATTCAGTGGGTAACTATGGTTAGGGGCAGATGAGTGACCCTGGGCACAGACAGAGTTTACTGCATGTATGTAAAGATCTCTTTTGCAGAAACAATTCTTCCTCAAATTTATTGGACTTTTTTTCCGATTTCCAAAGTTAAGATCTATAACATGTTGCTGTGTGTGGCATTACCACACTATCTTAATTGTTCTTTTACTTCAGCTGAAATGTTAGCTTTTTAAATGCCAGGCTCTCTGCTTAGTCCAGGATGCTGATATTAATCAGATAATTGTAAATGATCACAATAGTCAGGGCAGCACAGTGGCTAAATGGTTAGCACTTCCGCCTGGCAGTACTAGGGTTGTTGGTTTGAATCCCAACGACGGCACCACCTGCCTGGAGTTTGCATGTTCTCCCTGTGCCTGTGTGGGTTTCCTCCGGGTACTCTGGTTTCCTCCCACACTCCAAAGACATGCTGGTAGATTAATTGGCTCATGTCTAAATTGTCCCTAGTATGTGTATGTATGAATGTAAGTTAGGGACCTTAGATTGTATGCCCCTTGTGGGTTAGGGACTGATGTGAATGTACAATATATATGTAAAGTGCTGCGTAAATTGACAGCGCTATATAAGTACCTGAAATAAATAAATAATAGTCCACATGTCTCCTCCTTTTGGCATTTAAAGGATAAGTTTACCTTTTGTAACATGTTACATCCATATTCAGGATGTAGCATGTTACGATCTGACCGACCCCCGCTCCTCCAGATCTTCTTCCCCCCCCCTCGCTAGCTGTCAAATTTTTAAAAAATGTGGCCATGCGGGGCTCTTCCCACCTGACCGTGCCACTCATTCACTGCATTCTGTGAGTGAGCGACTACAAGTAGTCCTCAATGAACTACCACGGCGCTGTGGAGCACCGTGGTAGTTCATTGAAGCTTCCTGTCAGAATATCTGCTTGACTGTACATCCCATATGGCAAGCAGATATTTTGACAGGTCTGCAGAAGACCTGCATGGCATCAGCAATCTACTGATCGCTGGTGCAATGGTTTACAGGCTCTTGCATACAAAAATAATAAATGCACATTTTTTTTACCTGCAAAAATGTGCATTTATTACTTTTGTTGAAAAGGTGAACTTATCCTTTAAGACCCTTTTTTAACCCTATAAAACCCCCAAGTGGGAAAAATTCACAAGCTGTCGATCGGATCAAGCCTATCAATGCCACACCCAAGTTTAATTAATTCTTTCATCCTCCTGTTCATTAATAAACCCCCATTATATAGTCCCATATGAAAGAAAGCTTTTTTTTCAATTTTCTTTAATATTTCTAACATGGCTTTTTTTTTTATTTTATGGCACAGTACCGCCTGAAAAACCAACCAATATTACCTGTTGGTCGAAGAATATGAAAGACTTGACCTGCAAGTGGGTTCCAGGTAGTGAAGGAGAAACCTACCTACACACCAACTATACTCTGAAATACAAGCTCAGGTATCATGCAAATGGGAAAATTTAAGAAACGTGTTTACAAGTCTTGGTGTACAAAGTCAATTGTTATGTGTGTAGCATATGTTGGTGATCAGTTATGTGTACGCTGAATGTACCTAGCTGGCACTACTAGTAGGTAGGTTTTAATGTAATTCTAAGTGTAGTATATCAGTTGAGTGCTTTCTCCAGAATGCAGTGCAAAGCATAGTATGGAACAGCTCTCCCTGCAAACACTCTGTAATATATCTGTAATATATCACTACATTGTGTCTGATTCAACACCCACTGAACTAAAGGTTTCTGGGAACCTTAACCTTTGTACACACACAAATCCAAAACTAGTGAGGAAAATGTTGTCTTTTATAATTTATTGAGAAAGTTTTACAGAGCACCATGAGTTAGCGAAAAAAGTCAGTTTAGCAGAACTTTCTATGCATCTCTTTTTGATTAAAACCTCAGATTGACCTATCAATTAAAGAATAATGCAGGCCATAGATGGTTCCAAAATCTGCCGATTTTTCGTCCGAAAGAAAAATCGGCAGATTTTCATACCGTTAGTGGGTTAATTTGTTGGCCGTTTTTCGTGTTTTTTGCACTTTTGGATTATCGGTCATGTTGGAAAATGTTTGGAAAACTACTGATTTTCTCATCAATGATGGTCGTTTTTACGAAAAATGCATGCGCATGTGCAGTGACCTGGAAAGAAAAGAAGTTTTGCATGTACAAAATTTCTTTTCCGGGAAGAAGCCAGTCTTTGGACCATGCTCTGCTCTTCCTTGTTTTCTTATTTTTTTTCTCCTCCACTGATACCAAGCCAAGCACCATTATGGCAATTTTTCCTTTTGATATTTTTTTGGGCATTTTCGTAGAAGAAATACCGAATAATCGTACGTACGACACGATGATGATGTCTCGTTCCATCAGGCTCAGTAGAGTGTGGGAGGGTCTCAAAGGTCACAAAATGACATCATTTACTGGTATAGGTCATGATTTTTATTACTTGGTTGGCCGATTTTCGTAATCATTGGTGGTAACGTCGGTTTAATGACCGACCAATATTTTTGTTTATCGAACTAATAATCGGCACATTTTCGAACCATCTATGGCCTGCATAATGCTGGGTGCACAAAGGAAGTTTTTTTTTGTTTCCAACCCAGTAGGCTGAATGAAAAGCAATGTACAGTTTGCTGTATCAACACATCCAATGTTAGTGAAGTGATCTGCCTGCTGAGCTATTGTGTTCAGACAAGGGGACTGCCCCCCCCCTCACCACCAGCCAAGAAACACCAATCAGATGCTGACCAAGTGCTGGTTTTCCAGCATGCCCATTCAACAGAAGCCAGTCATGAGACTAGCTTCTGTCAGACAAGGAGCTGAATACGTAGGCCAAAAGTCAGTTGGTTCCTGCTGAACTGACTATTTTCAGCCAGTTTTTGGTCCATGAGTGCCCAACTTAAGTCACTGCTAATAGTCACTGGAATTAATCAGAATCATCCACTAAAACTTGTTTATGTAAAGTGCACCTGGTGACTAAAAATACCAATATCAAAACATATTTTATATATAACTAACTTTAAAAATAAAAACGTGTGTGTGTATGTATATATATATATATATATATATATATATATATATATATCATACTTCCCTATAAAACAGAAAAACGCTACTCAAATCCTAAAAAAATTTAATATTTGGAATTGTTATTTCTATTGTGCTTCATTACAACACTTCAGTATAATTGGTCCTTTTTTTAAAAACAATGCATTTTCTTATGTCTGTGCTTTTTACTGGAAAGAACAGCAAAATTCATGAAAATTTCACAACAATAGTGTAAAAAAAAATGGCAAGATAAGCAGTATTGCTTTCTCAGTTTGTACACCTTCTAATAAAATTCAACTCCTATTCCCTTTATACTCTGACTTTAAACAATACATTCATATGATTTGGTTTTTCTTTTAGCATTTTGTTTTATATTCTGCATAGTAGTGTTTTGGCAACAGGAGGTTATCAGTGAGTTTACCATTTTTTATAAACAATTAAACACAAATTCTAATGTTTTAATGTGCAAGATATATATCAGAAATGTTGTACATTTGAAATGAAGTTCTCTATTATCGTAAAAGTAAAATGATGTGTTATTAAAGCACATTTGTCTGGAACTTTACATAGAATGTTCCCAGATTAAACAGCAAATTTGTGTATTTTCCAGGTGGTATGGCAGAGATAATACATGTCAAGAATATCATACCGTGGGTCAATATTCTTGCCACATTCCTAAGGATCTTGCCCTCTTCACACCATATGAAATTTGGGTGGAGGCTTCAAACAGATTAGGATCCATCACCTCTGACATAATTACCCTGGACATTCTTGATGTGGGTAAGATACATTAGAGCCTTCTGTATATTAATGTAATGACTTCAGCGAACTGTGTGTTTGTGTATAAATTCCCATTAACTGCTGATAGAAAATCTGTCAATTGACTTTTTAATTGCTTCTGTGTATAATCTTAAAGCTAAAGTGAGTGAGCTTTTTCTTACTAACGTTGACTACTTGTAGTGTTCAAGTAATAATGGTTCTAACTGCAGATTTCATTTGTTAACAAAATGTGCTTAGTTGACAAATTTGTATATATTTCCTCCTGCTAGACTATGCAGATATTGCATTTCATAAGTACAACCATTTTTACTTT